ATCATATCCTGTCGAAAAATCGGACGGAAGACCTACTCGTTGCTCGCAACGAGATCGCATCTAGTTATTATTATTATTCTTTTTTTTCTTCTTTGTTCTCCGGTACTTTTTTTGTCCGCGAGTGTTCTCAGAAACTGTTCACCCAAAGTTAAAACCTTTTTAGGGTTAATAGGTGTCAAGTGTAGGTGTGCACAACGAAGGTCATTTTGCGCGCATACGCATGCACGTGCGTGCGCGTGAAATGAGTGAAATGACTGATATACTTATTATAGCCATAACTTTTATATTTTTTATTGAAATGCTTTGAAACTCATTCTATAAGGATATATTAATAGTCTAGATAATATGACATGGTCAAATTAGCACGAACTCACGTGCATGCACGTGCGCATCCCTCTGATTGACTGAAACAAAGATTTCAATATCTCTTTTGTTTTTTGACGAAATGCGTCATGCATTAGGATATACTACAATATAATATATAGCAGGTATCATGAAAACACGTGCATGCACGTGCGCTGCAATCTGATTGGCTTAAACTTTAAATGGGTATAACTCCTTTGATTTTCAACCAAACAGGATGGGACTTAGAACATAGATATACATAGTAGATACATACAAAATGGTAAGGTCATCATGCACATGCATGCACGTGCATGCACGTGAGATGGGTAAAATAAAAAATACACTTGATGAAGCGTATTTTTTAATACTTTTGGATTAAATACTTTATTATTTTATATATTAATGTATATATAGATAGTGTAGACAAGAGAATATGGTCATTACGCACATGCATTTACATGTGCACGCGTGCAAATGCTAAAATTAGAATATACTCGGTATACTTCAGGGAAAAGTTGTTAAAGTGTAAAATACATAGAGTTTGTCGTTTTTAATGAAGCTTAAAGGGAGTATGGCACCAAAAGGGAGTTGGGGAGCGTTTGGGGAACATCTGTAACGGTTCCCGTTACAATTAGCCCTAGTTATTATTATTTTTCTTCTTCTTCTTCCTGGGTACTTTTTTGTTCGGGAATGATCTTGTAAACTGTTCATCCGATGTAGGTAAAACCTTTTTAGGGTCAGTAGACATGTTATGTAGATTTGCCTAGTCAAGGTCATTTTGCGCACACGTGCTTGCAAGAGCGCTCACGTGCAACACGTGAAATGGCCAATATGATAGATATTGCCGTAATTTTTCTACTTTTTATGAAATGCTTTGAAACTGATAATGTGAGGACATATTAGTAGTACAGACATGGTGACATGGTCAAAATAGCGAGATCTCACGCGCATGCACGTGTGCTTCGCTCTGATTGGCTGAAACTAAAGTCTCAATATCTTTCTTGTTTTTTGACAAAATCCTTTGAAATTTTAAACATAGACATGTATTAGGATATCCTACAATGAAATATATAGCAATTATCATGAAAACGCGTGCATGCACGTGCGCTGCAGTCTGATTGGCTTATGCTTTAAATAGCTATAACTCCCTTGGTTTTCAACCAAACAGGATGGGATTTGGAACATCGATAGATAATGGACTTCTACAAGAAGATATGGCCATCATGCACATGCATACACGTGCATGTACGTGCGCTGCAATCTGATTGGCTGAAACTTTGAACAGCTATAACTCCCTTGGTTTTCAACCAAACGGGGTGGGAATTAGAACATAGATAGATGTAATGGACTTCTACAAGAAAGTATGGTCGACATGCTCATGTGAGCACGTGAAATGAGTAAAATAAAAAATACACTTGAATTAGCGTATTTTTTAATACTTTTGGATTAAATACTTTGATATTTAGTATATTAAAATCTATAAATTGTGAAGACAAGATTATATGGTCATTACGCACGTGCATTCACATGCGCACGCGTGCAATGCTAAAATTTGAATGAAATTGGTACACTTCTGGGTAAACGTTGTTAAAGTCTCAAATGCATACAGTTTGTCTTATTTAATGAAGCTTATAGGGAATATGGCACCAAAAGGGAGTTGGGGAGCGTTTGGGGAACATCTGTAACGGTCCCCGTTACAATTAGCACTAGTTTTTTTTTTATTCTGTACATCCCGTTTTGAAATTAGATTTTAAATCATTCGCAAACTATGTTAAGGAAAGGATTGCAAGGGGTCGTGAAAAAATTCTGCCCAATGATTTTTTCTCATTTTTACATATAACGTTCCTAATGTCAATGATACCATTATATCAAAGTATCAAGCATGGTCATCAGGCTTCTAAGGAAGTTATGGTTGCCATGGTAACCAACATTTTTTTATCTTTTGATATTTATGAGGTGAATGTTTTATAATGCCATACATGCAACAAAATTGAAGTAAATTAAATATTTTCCTGCAGATATTTCAAAATATGCTTTATATTTATTGAAATTAAAAATTGTTTCGGAAACTATTGATAAATGTAGTAATGCCATTGTTTTTTGGGGAAGTATTAATTGTAAATTTGCAGTAATATTTTCATCTCAAAAGCAGTTTTTAACGTCTAGACAAAAAATTACCCAATGAATTTTCCCAAAACTAATATATGCTTTACTAGTCATTATAAGTGACTTATGGTTAAAATATGAAGTAAGGTAATCAGATTAATTTTGAAGCTACACGCATTTCAGTACCCCCCCCCCTTCCTAGAATATTAAAAGATTACACAGATTTTCATACATGTATGTTGGTTTGTTGTTGGACCTTAAATATGCATAATCTGTTTAAAGACAATAAAGGCCATATGTATAGATAAATAAATACTTTTTCTCTGAAAATCTGGCAGCTGATGTTCATTTTAAGCACAATAATTTACTTATCACCAACAGTGGTCTTGAAAATAACTTCTTTTTTTCAAACTCAGTTTTTCATCGCCAAAACATTCATTCTGTTACTATATCAGTATAAATAAATAATATATTATAAACCAGTGACCAGTCCTCAAAGGCCTTATTCTTCGTGCTTTGAACACTCAGCGATGTTTCTTCTTAGTGACCTCGAATCGGGGGGGGGGGGGTCAGACATTTGAACACAGTGAATGAAAAGACGTTATTTTACATTGTACTTGTAACTGCATTATATATTTTTTTTATCAAATAAATGTATTCAACAATAAATTATCTTATTAGACAAATTATAGTAATTCTAAATATTCACATTTACAAATAGTTTTCCTTCCGATTCTATTCAAGAAATTACACTTCATTTTCTCCTGTACATGGATGAGCGCTATCTCCATTGTGACGTCATAATGACACAATTGACGTCAAAACTATAAATCTACTGTTTTGATTCAGAAATAGGGCCTAACCATTGATTGAAATAACTTTCCGTCGCTTTATGATATATGCTAGAGTGAAACATCTATGTTCATGCCCATATGATTAAAAAAAAAACATTTTTCAAATGTAATCCAATAAGCATGATGAGTTCACATGTTTCTTTTATTTATTTATGTACATATCTTCCCTGGTATTCTTTCAGAAGAAGTGTGTTGTGTATCAATACGAAGCATAAAACATTTTACAACAATCGTTTACAATATATGTGCGACGATGATCGAATGTTTACACGGTCGATGTCACTGCTGAAAATGCTTCAGATCTTATAGGAGAAAAGAAAATCCTCTGCGATATTTTTTTTAAAGATATCTAGGCATAAGTGGTCTTCGCCGTAACATGTTTATAATCAAAATCGCCTTTCATTCATCAATATTTATACATGTATCTAGTAAATCACGCCGTCTGAATTGTTGGAAATTATCTGTATATAGATGTAGATCCTATGATAAACAACAATCTTAAATAAAATTCTAATTTTTAAATGAAGATATAAACTCAAGATATAAATAAAATTTATTTTTAATGAAATAGATTTCAATGTTCAGAGATATATACAATAGACAGACGTGTTAAATCGTAAAATATGCACGTAGATAAAAAATACACTGTATGATCAACGCTCACGAACACTCTCAGTGCATCGTAACAATCTTTAATACCGTATAAGTAGAAATTTTAGCGAGGATTTAATTTTGGCATTATTAGCGAGGCTGTTGAGATCGCTAAAATTGAATATCGCTAAAAATATATTGCGTGCTATATGTACTAGCTTCTTGCAGGAGCATTTTAAAATCGCTAAAATTACTTCTCGCTAAAAATTAAATACCCATTTTTAAGGTGAAATCGCTAAATTTGCGTCTCGCTAAAATTTCCACTTATACGGTATCTTATACTTTCACTACTTTAGAAAATAAACCCCTTTTGTCATGAGCGCAAACATTCCGGAAATAGTTACAGCAAACATTCTTTTTTTATTCACCAAATGACGTGATCACGTGACGCCGTGCAATCGCGTCCTTAAGGGGATATACTTGAATCAGCATATCCGTCTGTTAATCAGTACCTCTAGCTGTTCCTCTGTTTGTAAACTGGATTTTGTCCGGACCTGTTCTCGGAGATTATTGCATAATTCTGTCAGAAATTCTATTCACTCATTATTCACCTTGTAAAGATATGCCCTGGTCTTTTCATCATGATTAAAAAAATACATTATTTTATTTTGTCCGGTGGTGTAAACGAAGACTATTGCAAGGAAGGTTTTCTGTCTCAGTGTTTTCTTTAAGAACATTTATTATTAAACAGCAGTTATTTGTATCCTTTGAAAAATATACAGACACGGAACTGATGATTTCTTAAATGTAATTTATAGCAGATGTCGCTTGTGCTTAAAGTCAGTTCAATTAAGGACTATTCTATTTGAATATCCTCTTTTGTTCTTCTGTCTTTGGCAATAGAAGCAGAAGGTGATTAAAAAACTTTCATGCGCTAAAAGTAATGCATAAATAAAATTTATAAGCTTAACTTAATTTGTTCAGAGAGTTGTGCAGAAAATCTTAGTTAAATAATTAAATAAATGCCTTTTTTTAATTTTAAAATATTTGTGAAACCCATTCAGTTAAAAACATTCACAATTATATTTCGTGTTGTTATTTCAGAGTATGTTTTATTTTGGCTGAAATCTATTCACACGTACTGTGCTGAGGACACATCCGTCATCATTGTAGCCACACACAGTGAAAATGCTACACAGAAGGTAATATGCATACATGCTACATCAGAGTGGACGTCTTTTTTCTTAGTTTAGACTGGAGGATGTAATTGTACTTTAAAACTGTACAAATATATTTTGCTGCATTAGAATATGCCATCATTAAGAGAGCTCGATGTTATTTGTAGTTGGAATCAATATCTTAATAATATTATCTTATTATTTTATCATATGAGGTTAGTCCTATGCTCGGCATACTCGGCATTAAAATTACCTGGCCACGAAGTGTCTATATGCAGTCCCTGAAACGTTCTACTTTCCCACCTGAACGGTGAACGAACGCTGAACGAACGCAGAGCGAACGGTGAGTGAACGATGTGCGAACGGTGAACGCAACTTGGTGAACGATGTGTGAACGGTGAACGGTGAGTGAACGCAGAAGGCAAACGGAGCGCGAACGCGAGCGCAAAGTGAACGGTAAAAGAACGGTGAACGCAAGATGAACCATCTATTCGGATTGCCTTCGGTCTTTTCCTTGTATTGAAATTATTCTTTTATTCTATAATTCAACTGTCATAAATAAATATAAATACACAATAGATAAACAAAAGAGAAATAAACAGATAAATAAATAATAAAACAAAAAATTCTACACATACGTATGTTTAAATCGATATTTTAATAACATGATTTTAATCGCCATCAAACGTGTTTTTGTTACCGCGTGTAGTTAAAAAATAAATTAATCTTATACAGTAAATAATTTGCTTATTCTTTTAACTAATAAAATAATGTGGAATTTAGAAGATAAAACTACTACTGATATAAAAAATAGATATATAAATAAATAAATAAATAAAAACATTTTTTTCTGCACATACCTATGATTAAATCGATACTTTAATAACATGATTTTAATCGCCGTCAAACGTGTATTTGTTACCGCGTGTACTTAAAAAAATAAATTAATCTACTTATATAGTAAATAATTATGCTTATTCTTTTCACTAATAAAATAATGTGGACTTCTGAAGATAAAACTGCTACTTATAGAATGATTTTATTACATGGTACTTATAGAATGATTTTATTACATGGTACGGGGTTGAAACAACCGTACATGTATTTCCGTGCCAAAGCGATTCTGAGTACAATAACGGATTTTTTTTAAATTCACAATTATCTGTTGACATTGACTGTTATCGTACTGAATAAAAATTCTCGTTTTATGTAAATTCTACTGCAAAATATTCTACGTATATTTATGTGCTTTTTTATTCTTTTATGACGATTAATTCCAGATGCAATGAATAAAAACAAATATTAATTTTAATCACATTTATTGTAAAACAACGATTACATTTTGTGACAAGTATTTGTCACAATCTATTTATACAAAGATATAAATACCCCGGCGGAATCCAGGGACTCACTACCTGCCGACTGACTTGGCGCGATATCGCACCCACAGGTGACTGTGGTGGGAACAGACCTCTTGGAACCGAAGAGTGAATGCCACATGGAATGAATGAATTCAAGTTCTGACCCAGGTCCTCACTCTATACTTGTCTCCCCTGGAATACAACAACAACATGGGGATAACACCCCCAGGGGTAGCTGGGTACTGTAGACCCCCAAAACCTGCCCTTGGTACCTCAAGGATCAAGCCGGTCCCTCAGGCACGGTGAGGTAGCCCCCAAATCTTCCCCAGTATTGAGGATAGATTACCCAGAGTTTTGAGCCAGACATGGTAGAAATCATCATTAGTGGTAATCCCCGAACTCCGCCGCCCCCAACCCAGATTGTGACTTAAAGAACGTTTCCATAATCCCAGCATAATATGTATACAAGCTATGTTGCTTGCGATACTTTGAGAAAAAAAAATAACACTGTACAGTAACACTGTACATAACACAGAATCATCAACTATCACCAATGACACCGACTTACTGATTATGTATCACACCTTAGAAATGTCCAAAAAAAAAAAACTCAGTATTTAATCATTTGTTACAACAGAAAATGTCCGATGAACACCAAATGGTCCCACCATATACATAATGACCACATCCTTCCTTTGATTCCGATTTCAACCGCTTGGGTGTTCCACCTACACAACATTTTCCATTTAGGAATATGCTTCTGTCACTGAAATTACAGAAGAGAAAACAGCAAAATCATGTACACAAATTTTAGGGAAGGGTGGGTGGGTGAAATTTTGCAACATGTTTACCCTTCTAGCTTTTTCGGTAGATTATGACAATCAGCGTCATAAGGTGCTTGATAATATTACGTCATCTATTTAAAACCCATAGTCTCGATAATGTTTAACTACTACAATTAGAACGCACGAGTTATCGCCCTTGCACTGGTATTAAATGCATTTATCAAAATATAGTGATAAACGCAATCAATTCCAGATGCAATGAATAAAAACAAATATTAATTTTAATCACATTTATTGTAAAACAATGATTACATTTTGTGTATTTGTCACAATCTATTTATACATAGATGTAAATACCCCGGCGGAATCCAGGGACTCACTACCTGCCGACTGACTTGGCGCGATATCGCACCCACAGGTGACTGTGGTGGTAACAGACCTCTTGGAACCGAAGAGTGAATGCCACATGGAATGAATGAATTCAAGTTCTGACCCAGGTCCTCACTCTATACTTGTCTCCCCTGGAATACAACAACAACATGGGGATAACACCCCCAGGGGTAGCTGGGTACTGTAGACCCCCAAAACCTGCCCTTGGTACCTCAAGGATCAAGCCGGTCCCTCAGGCACGGTGAGGTAACCCCAAAATCTTCCCCAGTATTGAGGATAGATTACCCAGAGTTTTGAGCTAGACATGGTAGAAATCATCATTCGTGGTAATCCCCGAACTCCGCCAAATGAACTTGTCTATACAAGTTCACCCGCCAATAACGCGTAAGGTGTATGTATGAAAGTTTTAGTTCAGCATTTCACCCACCTGACCTTTAAATATCAAAATTTATATGTACCTGTATAAGAGACACTTGTAAGCTAGGGCTCCATATAATCAAGGCTCGTTTTTGATTAAACCTCTATCAGAGCAATTAATTAAATTCGGACTAATAACTTGCTGGAAAAGCTGGCATTTCAATACTTTGAAACCATAATGATCCAGGCGAGATGCCCGGATCACTGAAACCAACATGTACATGTACAATCCAAGTGCAATTTATTCTAAAACAAAGAATCAATTAAATTCCCCTTTTTTATAATTTTTTTTTAAAATCAAATTGAGGGCTTTTTTCCCTGACGGACAAATGGTCTCACGTTGGGTATCTCCGTATCCTATGAATGCCATATCCAAATATCCAAGACTACACACAATCTATGGATACCTGCTATTGACCTTTTGTTCGATAATTTGTTCAGGAATGACCTATAATACTGCTGCTGAAAAGAGTGTGATCTAAAACAGCATTTGTTCATTGGTCAAAATAAATTTGCTCTTCCTGAATTTGACTTGCAATACCATACGCTAATTATAAAAGGTGGAAGGCAAATACTGAGTAGATAATGCAAGCCCTTATGCCCATCTTTAAATCTGTCTTACATATTGATTTTATTCCCACAGACAACTGGTTGCTACAATTAACTTGCACATCCCTTACATTTACTAGCCACGGGTGACAGGAAATGGGGTATGTCATCACCCGAATAATGCATTATTAGTTAGGGGATTACCATTGAAATGTACCCAAAATTGGCCTTGGCTGTACCAAGTTCAGACTATGATCCTTGATGATTTTTTTTTCCATCCAACTAGCTTAATTATGCCAATGTGACATTGCTGGAAAGGTGTGAACGAGGACCCCAAAGCTCAAAATGAAGCCACTGTCAAAATAGAATCTATAATATTTTGTATAAATGTTGACTTTTATCAAAAACCAAGCGTGTCATTCTTATTTATTCGAACATGATATGGCGATCCTCTAAAGCTCGCTCATTGTGAAAAGAAAATGTCCCGAAAACCCAAGATATACCACCACGCGGGTATGTTAAGGCAGCATATGGACCAGAATTCGGCGAATTAAGACTTTTTTATAATTATGTGACACTAATCAATCGGAAAAGTCAAGCATAAGACTTTTGTTATAATTATGCATTCTATAGACTTCAATGGGACTTATACTACACGAAGCACTTCATCACGACGTCACCACGTGACGTCTATAATTAGAAAATATGCCTTAATGAAAAAGTGAAAAGTTCAACACTACCCCGGGGATAATTAATTTCAATTTGTAATAATAATTGTGTAAAAACATCTCTGTACCATGAAAAGTGCTGCTAGAATCCAACTGTCCTATCAAAGAAATAATTATTCTACACTTTCTGACGAAACCTTCCCAAAATTTTTACATTTTGTTCATAACATCGTAAAAAATGCATTCATTCCCGTAAACCATACGATTCTAGCAGCACTTTCCAAAAACGATAGAATAAGAACTTTAGATAGAAACAAAAATTAAGCTTCAAATTGTGCGGCGTAGTGTTGAACTTTTGCTTCTTATTTGTTACGAACGACAGAGGAAAGGCTGATCGGCAAGTAAACACCCTCCCTGCTTTAATTTTTCGAAGAAATCGTTCAAGTATATTACCATACCTTAATCATAAGCTTTATTCCCACATGAATCACACATGATATTCATTCTAAATGCTTTTAAACTCCGATTTCTTGTGTTTGTTTACATGAATTCTCGTTACGTTTCACTTTCACTCTGCTACTGCATGATCACCAGGTATGACTTCACTGGTTTGGTATTTAACCACTGTGATAACTACAGAGACCCAGAAACGACAAAATTCTGTTTGTATTATGCCTCTGCATATTTTGATTAATTTTTACGACCTCAAATCAATCTTAGATATCGATTATAAGAAATTATTATCTCTTAACTTCACGTCATATAACTTACTATGACGTCATATCATAAAGGCAAGTAGAATATTTGGTTGTAACCTTAACCTACCTGCGCAGTACATATCTACATATATAAAT